CTTAGTATATACTTTTTGGGGATTCTCATGGAAGAAAGAATAAGTGACAAAACATTACTTGCTTGTCTTCCCTCAGGGAGTATGTTGATCTGCAATGCACAGAGCTGTAGTTGAAAGTATTAGAGCAGCAAGCAGCAGCAAAAGTAAAGTTCTACATTTAGGCAAGAAAAACCAAATGTACAGGTATAGTGTAGGGGGTAACTTGCTCAATAGTAGTAACTGTGAGAGGGACCTCGGAGTCCTAGTGGACAATCACTTAAATATGAGCCAGGAGGCCAACACAGTGCTGGGCTGCATTAACAGAGGGATAGAATCAAGATCACATGAAGTATTAATACCACTTTACAATGCCTCGGTAAAGCCACACTTGGAATACTGCATCCAGTTTTGGTCACCACGATGTAAAAAAGATGTTGAGACTCTAGAAAGAGTACAGAGAAGAGCAACAAAGATGATCAGGGGACTGGAAGCTAAAGCATATAAGGAATGGCTGCTGGAATTGGGTATGTCTAGTTTAATGAAGAGAAGGATGAGGGGGGACATGATAGCAGTGTTTCAATATCTCAGGGGCTGCCACAAAGAAGAGGGAGTGAAGCCATTTACCAAGGCGCCAGATGGCAGGACAAGAAGCAATGGATGGAAACTAATCAAGGAGAGAAGCAACCTAGAACTAAGGAGAAACTTCCTGACAGTTAGAACAATTAACCAGTGGAACAACCTGCCTCCAGAAGTGGTGAATGCTCCAACACTGGAAGTTTTTAAGAAGAGACTGGACAACCATTTGTCTGAAATGGTATAGGGTTTCCTGCCTGAGCAGGGGGTTGGACCAGATGACCTCCAAGATCCCTTCCAACTTTATTATTATTATTATTATTATTATTATTATTATTATTATTATTATTATTATTATTATTATTATTATTATTATTATTATTATTATTATTATTATTATATCATCATCATCATCATCATCATCATCATCATCAGTTTCCTGGAAGCAGTATAAAAAGTGGATTCCAATTGCCTTCTTCCACAGTTCAGTATTAATAAAGTCTGACCCTGCTTTTATCTTTGTGAGCCCACATGATGAGCTCTGACCAATTCAGAAAGCTCTCTGAGAAGGGTGCTCAGGCCAAGTATACAACTTTCAACTATAGGAGCAAAATCTCCCGTGATAGCATGACTGAAAGGAAGAACAGCATCCAATGGTGGGATTCAGCTGGTTCGACCACTTTGGCAGAACCGGTAGCTAACTTTTTGTTGCCCAGGCCCAGAATGGACTTTCGAAAGCGGCATCCACACAGAGAACCGGTTGTTCACATATTTGAATCCCACCACTGACAGCATCCCTCTCATTTGGATGCAGTACAGCTCTACTCTAGCATCAGTCTGCACTCCAAGACATAATGGTATTAAAACCAGAATTGTTTAAGTGCACAATTACCATATGCTTCAATATCCTACGCACAGCAGCAAGGCAAAGTGAATTTCTCCCAAAAGGTACTGTTTGATGAGAGAACCTGGTATGTCAGGGCCTCAAGGCCTGTGAAAACAATTTAATACCACATATGTGATTTCCAAACAATTTAAACTTGAATACAGAACAAACCCATATTTGAGGAGGTTAAATCTACATTTTCAGTTAGGATCAGCAGGCAGCTCTAATAGTTAGATACAGAGGTGCTTCATTAAATGGAACAAACATAAAATCTCAAGCAGGCAACACAGTATTATTAGCTCCACTAATTTCTACTGGCATGAACAGAGAGACAGTTTCCAAACTCACAAAATGCTGCACAGTTTAGAAAAAAGATTCTAATATAGTAACTGCATGGAGACTATAGCTCAGTGATGGTGAACCTTTTAGAGACCGAGTGCCCAAACTGCAACCCAAAACCCACTTATGCATTGCTGGGTGCCGGGTGAGCATGGCCCATTGGGTGGGTGTGGCCCATTGGGTGGGCGTGGCTGTGGTGGTAACAGCAGACTGGGTGGGACTAAAAAGTTCAATCAATCAATTCCAACTTTGCAAGATCTTTTTTTTCCCCACGAGAAGTTGAAATTGATTGATTGAACCTTTTTTTTTTGCACACGGCGGCGGAAGCCTAAAGCGAAAAGGTTTTATAAAACCCAGCTGAAGGCCTAGGACTGGGGCGAAGGTGCCCATGCCCACAGAAAGGGCTCTGAGTGCCGCCTCTGGCACCCGTGCCATAGATTCGCCACCACTGCTATAGCTGCTTATCAGTAGAGTTAAATTCACTTAACTAAACATTGCCCTAATCAGAGTTCCTAATCCCAGGGAAGCATCTGTATGCATTTGGCTGAAAAGTCTATGATCATTAAAATATAATGAAATAGATAAAATAAATTAATAATTCTGAAAAAAGCAGAAAGGGCTTCTTTGTAGTGGACATGGTTGCTTTATATAAAGCACCACATAAGAGATAGGCCTATGCACACTCACATGAGATCTTTAGCAGAAAGCATCACCTGTGTTTAATGTAGCTTATTCAGATGGAACTGAACATATTTACCAAGTGAATGGCAGAAAGAATTATATTTCACCAGGATGGTAATAAATTGATTTGTTCTTGAGAGACAGTAACAGAAGCGCATATTGACTTTTACCTTCCTTCTGGTAAGAAGAATGAAATGTCAAGAATTACTGCTTTAATATCAGCTAAGGCAAATCCATTAGTTGTAGTGTGGGTGGATCCAGGAAATCATTGTTTCTAAATACTGATGTGCACTTTATTAAATCATTCTAGTACTTTTTTCACCCATCTTTTGCAGCTAACAATTTAAATCAGTGCTACATGTGCTTCGTGATGTAAAACAGGGGTCCCCAACCCCCGGTCCATAGACAGGTCCAGGTCTGCAGCATGCCAGAAACCGGGCTGTGCAAACAAGTGAAGCCCCCTCCACGGGATGCAGGCAGCATGTGAAACTACGCCCTCCAGCCTGCAGAAAAAATCTCTCTCCACAGAACCAGTCCCTGGTGCCCAAAAGGGTGGGGACCACTGATGCAAAAGAATCAGAATTGTGACAAGGAACTAAAGAACACTGATTGTAAGCATTTTATGGATACTGGGTAGCAATTTTAAGAGACATAGGTTTCTCAAAATAATTCTTGTCTTACTGAAGATAAGAGTGTTTAATTTTTTGTTTAAGATGACAACTAACATATAAAGATCAATTTATATTATTCAAGAATTGTGGAGAAGCATAAATAAAAGGGAAAACAAACCTTTGCAAACATATTTTGTAAATTATTAGATTGCTTAATCAGTTACTAAATAATTAGATTGCTTAATATATTCTATTCATAAAGTATATATGAAGATGCTCAATGATCCAGGTATAGTTGTCCCAAAGGTACTATTCAATGGCAATTGGACTTTCTTGCTTTTTTCCTTGAAAATGTTTAGCTTCTCATCTAAGAAGCTTCTTCAATTCTGAACCGTTTTCAAGGGGGGGAAAAAAAGTTCAAAGCATCTTTGGGATATTCATAAAGTAATTCTCTACATGTTAAAAATACCTAAATTTCAACATGCTAACTTAAATGTATAACATATGGAATAAAACATCTGTTGCTTGTTACTATTTTAATCAGAGTCTATGGGGTTTACTTTGATGTAGATAAAAAATGTAAAGGAGACCATAACTATTTTTCAGAAGATCTTATACGCACTTTAACAAAAGTATACTGTGCTAATTATAAATATTTAACATATAGAATGTTTTGGATTGAATTCGCAGAGCTCGCGGTCTGCCACCTGTACTACATTATAAAACATTATCAGAAAATAATTGTGCTAAGAGGTTAGCATTGTCCTAATGCTTCTATCAAGAACACATACCACTGATAGGGCTCGGTAGCTAACAAAGTGAGAAAGAGCCTGTGGCCTAGTGCTTAACATGCAGACAGCCCAGGTTCGAATCTCAGAAGGGTATGTCTGGCTGATGAAAACCAAATAAGGTTTGAAATAGCTATCCCAGTTCTCCCTTAATTCTTTGTTAGCAATTCAAATTTTGGAACATATATATATATGTTCAATCCATATATATGTTTTCTGAGGTTTTTGCGGGTGTTTGTATGTAGGTCTTTGGTCATTCGGGTTCTCTCACGCGTACTCAAGGAATACTTTTAAGTCTTCTTGTCCTGAAGCTCTTGTTGGACTCAATAGGGATTATTATCAGTTCCAGTTAATTTGGGGAGAATAAAGCATTGACAAAATGGTGGTTTTCTTAGATGAAAAAGATTTTATGGAATCATTTTAATCTGACTTGTAGCCTAAAATGTTCTAGGTTATGTTGATCAATTTCTACAGCCAAGAATTAAACAACATAAGAGATGTATTCAATCCATCAGCCCTTTTACTTCCACATAATATCACCAGAAGAATGTTATGCATCATACCATTGGACAAATTATGCTAATGACACCTGAATTTGTCTCTAAGAATTTAAAGAAACCTGTAAGTTTCCTAAAACAACTTTAGGAACTAAACAACTTTAACTGTTATTAAGGTTTAGAAGAACTTGACACACTTAAAATAAAACTGAGCTGGATGGAGATAGTTCCAGTTAATAGGAAGGATATCCATATGGATATTTAAATTGCTGTTGGAATGGTTGTGCTTCTTCTTGCAGCATTTAAGATTGTAATTCTTCAATTGATATAAAGCCTGCAAACAGATGTGGGAATAAAAGCATTCAGAAAATCCAGTTGGCTTACATGGTAGCATTATTACTGGATAGTCAGAATTCACATGATTCACTCACCAAATTATTTTAAAAAATCAAATCCTATTCTTCATGCTCATGTGTAAAATAAAGAGGGTTTAAAAGAGCATCACTGAAGGATGACATATGCATAGTAAATAGCAATCTAAAAATTTGGCAAATGTCAATTTTTGTTCTTAATTTTATTTTGGGAAAACATACATCTGAAAAAAAATTAAGCTTGAAAACATAGGAACACAAACCATTCAACTTACCTGAATGGTAGGTGTGGAGCGATTTTTTCGTGTTGTGGTAGTGGCCATAGTAGTGGTAGTTTCCATGACGGTGGTGGACATCTCTGGTGGCATAGAGGTTGTGGGAGCTGTCCCCAGAATAGATGGCACTTCACCAACCAGCCGAACGCTTCCATTGATTTTGATGTTGGGGTTGTTTTCTGCTGCCATGTTCAATACTTTCAAGCCATTGTAATAGAGACCGGAAAGCTGACCTTGGAAGAGACGCCCTCTATCTTTTCCTCCAATGGCTATTTGAGCCTGGGTGTTGAAGATCGTTAACTGTCGTCCTAAGTGAATGGGGGGGGGAGTGAACAATGTTATTGCCAGGAATATTCTTCCCCGTTTTTAAAAACCAAAATGTTTTATGTTATGTCCTGGTCGAATGAGTGGAAGATCAGAGCAAGTTTTCTGACATTGGTGGTGATGGCAATTGTGATGGCTGAGTGACTGGAATACTACAAAAAAAAAGGTCTTATTGTGTTACAAATTAGGATAAACCAGATCAAACAAATAACAAACCCAGATTTTCTTGGCCTTACTGTATTCCCATAAATGTAAACATATTTAGCAGAAGCCAAGATTCCAAATATCACCCAAGTGATGAACTCAAACCAATTTTAAGATCAAGCATTCTGCAGGTTTTTTTTACTGAGAATCTGGGAGAGTTCAGTTCAATGAAACAACTCCGTTTTTTGCACATTATGGAATTTAAGAAAATTGGATCCTTGCATGGACTGAACAGAGATTTAGTCCTGTCCTATGACTTGGAAAAAGATATAGCATTAAAAGATGGATAAATGTATGCTTCATGACTCCTTAAAACATAAAATAACTATTTCTGAATGAGGATATAATCTGCATTTAAATCGAGTTCAACTTTAAGACAATATAGGATTATCATTTCTGTAGAAGAAAAAGATATATCTTAAAATAAAATTAGTGTAAACAAATAATTCCATTCCTTGAGTACTTCACTTTCACAGTAAAACTCTATGCAACCATTACCACCTCACACTGAAGTTATGGAAATCAGACCCAGTACCCCTTCGCTGCAGAAAACTAAATCCAAGTAAGAAGGGTTCGTATAGCCTTCTCTTTAAAGTATCAGTTCCTAAACACAGGTTTATCTTTGAAAAGTAGCCTATGCTTTGACTAGCAAGCAATTTTATTGGATGGACATTTTGAAAAGAGAGAATATAGTGGTGAACCTGAACTCTGCTAGTATCTCAAAATGAACCGCCAGCAGGTTCTATAGTATCCATCCACCATTTTTTATAAAGATTGCTTTTTCTTCATCAGTATTAATATTGAGTCAGAAACCCAAATTTGACCTAGGACTGTTAACAACTAGACTAGATTGTACAGAAATCAGCAAAGTGAATCTTGAGATTTCAGAAATGAATTTCCCAATTCCTTAAAGGAAAGCAGAAAGAATTCAGTTCTAGTCAGAATGAACCCCACAAACAATTGCCAATTCTTCATTCTACGTACAAATCAAGGACATATTCATCCCATTAATTCAAAAAGACAATTCAAACTTTGACAAAACTTTTCCCTTTATCTTGTTCTTCCCTCATAATTTCAGGAAAATTAAAAGAAATTTTCAAGAACTACATTCCTTGTATATATGATTTATTTGCATTTAGCTTTCCAAATGACAGCTATAAATTTCATATGATAAATCCAATATGTAAGCTCACCTGGATTTAATCTTCATTCATATGTTTTGGAGTGTATTACATGTAAATGTCCATTGAATAAAGAACCATACAAGCCACATTTCAGAAAATAAAGTGGAATTAATATTATTTCATTCAGTCTACTTCTCCCAACATTTACACACACATGTCCATTCCCTCCCCTCCTCCCTTGCACACTTACCACTTTCTTTCTCTGTTCTATCCTGATAAATGCCAAATTCTACTGTGTCGTAAAGTAGAATCTAAACCCCATTACTGATTCCCTGTGATTAAAGTAGATCAGAATAGGAGGGGGAGCTCACCAATTTTGGTCGTCGTGGCAGGTCTCGAAGTCAAGTGGTGATGCGGTGTTGCATCATCTAATGGTGACAGGATGGGTCATAGGGAAGAGAATTGGGACAAGAGAAGAAATGTATCTGAAAGGAATTCCTATTCCCAAGGAGGATCCTAACTAACCAAGCAAAGTAGATGTTTATGGGAAATGCTGAGACTTTGAGGAAGCGGAACACACATCTTCATGTGCTCTCCACTACCGTAACAAGAAACAGATCTTCATTAAGCAAAGATGGACTAGTATACAAATGTAAAAACAGCAAATTAAAAGAAGAAGAAAAAATGAAAGGATTGATATACTCTGTCCTTGGAAAGCAATTAAACCTTATTTTTTTGAAATCTCTTCTACAATCTCTTTCCTCTCATGCCCTTTTCTCCTTATCATATGGATTCATTGCATGTAGCTTGGGAGTGGCATGTTGCATTTATCTGTTGTGTGAGAGAATACTAAATCTGGCTAGGCTCAATTATTTTATATAAAAATAATTGCTATAGTGATAATCTCACTTAGCCATTTTTAGGTTATAGAGATGATTGTGATAATAACACTATGTTCACTCCAATCTCTTTCAAGTAATGACATGATAGTATCAGCTATCACATGGAAACCTCTGATGGGCTCTCATTAAATTTGGACATACAATTCTATTCACAAGATCTTTTTTTTCAAAGTTACTATAATATTAATAATTGCATTTTTCTTTTCATTCTCATGCAGTGCTTATAATCTGGAAAATGACACTTGAGGTAGATACTTTGTTATCAGCCTCTGCCTTTTCCATAAGACAAAAAAAATGTATAGACTATGGCCACAAAATTACACATAGATTAGAACTTCTGAATGGGTAAGGACCTCAAAATATAGGAACTGGGGAAGATTTCCTAGCTTGGAAAGCTATAATAAGTAATTCAGATTTGCAGTTTGAAAGGGCTCAACCCGCCTTAATATTCTGAAAAAGCTCTTTTCTCAATTCCTTCAGACATTTATGGCTTTACACAATACAGTACAGAACCACCTTTCCCTAGTGTTCTTTTCTATCCCTTTCTTGGACTCCAGAAACAAAAGTTGCAGAGAGGCAATGAGAACGTATGACCAGATTCTATGGCCAACAGCCAGAAAATGGTCTTTTAAAAACTAACTCCTAGAAACTGGAATGCATAATTTACTCCAGTTTCCCCCCCCCCCCAAACTATTAATAATTGACCAAAGACTGCTATGAGACCCAACTGGTATTCTGATAATGACATCCTTCATGTCTAATGATACAAAGCAAAGTTAGTAAATTCCATTAAATACATACTTTTAATTTCTTTAACAATCCAAGGAGAACCAAAGATAAAAACAACAATAACAAACTACTATACCCACCCTTTGGAGATCACCAAAGGATGGATAGGGTATAATTGTCATATAGTATTTAGAGAAGAAATGGGCCTTGTTGAATATATTATGGAATACATGTCATTGATGAAATATATTTGTAGGGCTGTGGCATACTTAAGGGAGAGATGTGGTTTGGAAAAAAAACCATAGGTGTGCCTATAGCATCTGTTGTAAACACTTTCAAGTAGTTGTGTTTTTTCTTGGGGTTGTGCAGCTGCCTTTTGTATCTGCCACACAATCCCAGGAACAGATGTATTTAATTTAAGGAGTTTCCAACAGATCCTACATGTAAATCCAACATGTTCTGAGTCATGTTTCTTCCTCTGAAGAACTATAAATACTTCCCAGAGTGGCAGAAGTGGACAGTTTTTAAATGGAAAGAATTATGGAATGTCTTTGGAAATTGAAAGAGATACTGTATGTTAGGCCATTGAGTCCAATCCTTGCTTAATTCTGTAATTCAAATTACAGGATCCTTGACAACTATTCTGACTCTATTTAAACATGAAAGGGACCATCACCTTCCTAGTTAATACTTCCACTTTCAAATAACCTTGGCTGGTTTGTTTTGAGATAGAGTTGAATGTGTCAAGGACAGATTTTGCATCTTACTTTTCTTAATTAATTTCTTCTGTTTTTAATTGGTAGATACCCTTAGTATCAATCACTGTCTTTGACAATGCTTAGCTTTTCCAGAAAACTTAGAGCTAACCCCAGATTTAGTATATTCTCTCTCACGGCCCATGATCTTTGAAACAGAGGTTATGATTACTATTCTTGGAATGTTTTGGAAATCTCATACCTTGCTCTGTTTCCAGGTCTGGGGTTAGACTACTTGTGGAGCCCATCACATTTTTGTGTATTTTGTTTATTTGGCTCTATCCAGATGATCATGATTTTTAAATTATGTTCTTTAAATAGTGTAAGACCACCCAGAGTCTTTTTGGAGTTACTGCTGCAAAGTCCAATAAATTAATTTAATAATTGTTGAAATTAGTCTTCAGTTAATTTCCGTCTTAGGTATTTCAATCTTAGGTATTTCAGTCATGCTATGTTCATTAAGTTATTTCATAGATCTACTCTATATAAAACCAAACCAAATTTGCATTTAATCTCTTTGCTGTTTGTTTATGGCTGTTGTTGCATGTAAGACCCCAATCTAGTTCAAAACCATTATGAATGGGCAAGAGAGGTTTAGACATTTACTTCACTGTTGCTTTCCAAAATTTGTGTCCTCCAATAGGAGTGTAAAAAGGCTGTGAAACTCCATTGGTGCTAGTGTGTGAGGGAGAGCAACTGAACATGTGTAAGCAAATGAGAAAGCTTTATTTTATTTATTTGTTTTAGAAATATAACCATGCATATTGTTCCAACATCCTAGATACAATTACCTGAAACAGATGACCTATTTTTGTTTAAAAAAAGAAAATTCATGTCTTTTCTTCTTGAAGATTTTCTTCTTCTAGCGTAGCTGACAAGGCATGCAACATAGAGCACAGCTACATTTTATAACGAAACACTGACATTGAAAGTGTGTGTTTGCTAAAAGGACAATCACAGGTCTCTGGAGGATCTGCTTTTAACTAAAACCACTTGTATGAAACATTTTTACTTGATGATAAAGTGGAAAACAATGGGCAAAAAGAAAACAAAATGTTTAGAGGAAACATGCATAGTTGAAATATCAGGTCAGACCTTCATCTTTCCTAATGTGATGAATCTCATTCTTACAAAAGAAAAAGTTAGTAAACAGTTTTGCATATATTCTCTATTTCAAATGCATCCCTGTAGTACTGGGAGCTTATTGTGAGTGTGAGAATGCAAATTGTGTAGTATAGTTAATCCTCTGTTAACTATGGAAATTGGAACTCCATCACTAAGTAACAAGTTTTAAAGCATAAAATCATGTGACCATGCTGACTTATGATGGCAATTCTGATAGTAATTGTTAAATGCATTTTGTGTGGTCATTAAATTCGACATTGAGTGACTTCAACTTGTGATTTTGTCATTGGCTTTATTTGTCAGAAGCCCATAGTCAAGGTTGCTAATGCCAATTGTGCAACTGTGGAACTTTGTGACCAATGTCTCAAAGACACTTTTTCATGAGACAACTGGACTTTCTGTTTTTCTTTGATGACATTTCACTTTTCATCCAAGAAGTTTCTTCAGCTTGCGGATAGCTGGTCATTTGCATTCTTTTAGAGAGTCGCTGAAGCCACCTGGAGGTTTATCTGAGTCCTCATAGTCCTTTCAACCATTCCAAGAAGGCTCTACACCCATTTGCACTACTCAGGTGACCCTGACAACAAATTCCCCACCATCCAGTGAGAGCTGAAGAAGCTTCTTGGATGACAAGCAAAACATATTCAAAGAGAAAAAAGAAAGTCCAGTTGCCTCATGAAAAAGCACCTTCAACCTGGATGACTGAGAACTCCATAGACCTCTGTGACCAATGTATTTGCGTGCTGTTTGCCAAGTGCCCAAATCATGATCACATGATAGTGAGATGGTGTGACAGCTGCAATTTCAAGGATGAACCTTAAGTCTCCTGGCTCATTATAACTTCAAACATACAGTAGTGGCCAAAATTGTGGAAACCTTTTGGGAAAAGTGTATTTTTGAGGTTTAATGGCTAATAACACCACTTTTTTTTGGAGTAGTACCATAAAAGTATATATCAATGGAAAGATAATTTAATCAAGAATGTAATGCAACAAAGTTTGTTCAATTATCTGTACTGTATTCTATGAAAAGTTATAGTCAAATAACCAGAAAAAGGAAGCACAACTTGCTTAGGTTGATATTAAGTAGCTTTCCTTTATCTGATTGTAGCCAATGAGCATGAGTGTTTAGAGAGCCAATCAGGTGTCATCTTGTTTTGGCAATGAGCCAATCAGATCACAGTAGGATTCAGTTATTGATGTAATGTATTGAAGCTGAGAGGAGGACATTTGTCAGTGTGTTATGTGATCGCTATCGAGTTGGTTTTTTGTGTTCTTTCATTTAGTGAGCTTGTAAAATGTAATAAAATTAAAGTAATGGTGCAAAGAGTTGACTGGTTGCCCAGAAAGCGATGTAAAATAGTATTATTAAGTGAACAAGGCTACAGTTATAAAGAAATTAGAAGAAAAATTGGTGGAAACTTAACCAAAGGTGGCATTTTTACTGTACACTTTTCCCAAAAGGTTTCCACAATTTTGGCCACTACTGTAATTAAACAAGTGGTTGCTAAGTGAGGACCAGTTGTACATGTGAGGTTCTCCTTGCTCCATTTGTGGGGTTGATATGGTTTACATAAAAGACAAGCAGTGCTTGTCACTATTTCATCCAGTATAGGTATAATTTGTAACCCTTTAAATCAACTCAACTTGATTTTGAATTTAAAAATGTCTGTATAATCTGGTTTTCCCATTGACAAAACAGTAAAGGAAACCTAAAAAAGAACAAGAAAACTCTGGGCATCAGAATACCAATTGCATTGATCTGGTTCAGAATGTTGAATTTCGGAGTTAAGGCTACAAATCTTTATTCTGTCTAAAACTGTCAAAAATTGAATACTTGCAGTAGCAGCTGATGGATGAGGTCGATTTGTGCCATTTGCTTTCAAATCAGCCATCAACTGCCAATTTATTCTAAGTT